GCGCGGATGGCAACGTTCCATCAACAGCCTCTGCTGAGGCCTTGATTTCCATAGGTCACCCCGGTCAGCAAAGTGGCCAAAATGTACAGTAGAGGGAAATGGAGGGCTATTTGGACAGCTGTTGTTGTTTGGCTGGATGTTTTCCCGTCTTTTCTTCCAACGGGCATCAACTGATTTGTCATCTGAGACCTGTGACTTTGCAAGGGCCGGGGTGGTGGTGGTGGGGGCAGAAAGCAGCAATTCATTTCCAACAAGATGCAAGGGTGAGCATTGCACAATACGTTGTGATGGCCTAGCAGGCCAACATGTGGAAATGTTTCTGGATAGTTTTTATAATGATGGGACAGGAGAGGTCATATGTACAGGAGAGAGTATATTTAGCTCCTTCCTGGAGGAGAGGGGCTTTTTTCAAACAGAAGACAGTGAAAAGAAGAGATGCCGCTTCTGCTTGAAACTGGTCCATTTGTAAGTCACATCCAGTAAGTACATGGATGTTGGTAACATTACTTCCCCCATAGTTCTGCCTGCAGGACCTGGAGTCTCAAAAAAAGAAGCATTCCCAAGTTCTCGGTGAGCCTCCAGTTGGTCCAAAATCATCTTGTTATTGGTCCATTATATCCATCATTCAAACCATGATGGATTAGAGGTTCCTTGACTTTTTTTTTGCCATCTCCCAAACACCTCAGTCCTTGCATGGGCTCGGATGTTTGCAGTCACCACCAACTTTCCAGACACGATACAGTCCCATCTGCAAATGTACCTGCATGTGGAATGGTTTTACTTTACGGAACACAACATAAGACCTCTTCTTACTCTACAGTAAATACGACCAAAAAAAAAGTCGAGGGTTGGGAAATACAGAATGAAATCAATCGAATTGTGTTTGGAAATGGATTGGCAGCCCGTGGTGCTGCCGGGCTTATGTGAGAAGACAAGACTCCTTAGAGAAGACACTAGAGTGTTGAGGAAAGCTGAAGGCAGCAGGAGAAGAAGAAACACGAATACGAAGTGGATTGACACCCTGTAGGAAGCCACAGGCTTGAATTGGCAGGAGCTGAGCAGGAACTTCTCATGACGCGACCTTTCAGAGGTCATCACAAATCAGAAGCGACTTGACAGAGCATAGCAACAAACTTATCAGACCACAACTCAGTCACAAATATTTATTGTCCGTACCTGGAAAGGAACTTCCCTGAGGATTTCTCCCAAGTAACTAAGATGGGGAGGATCAGGCGGCAACCTCTGGGGACGTTTAACTGGGAATGCGTTCTGCTCAACTTGTTAGGGGAAACATTCCAAGGTGTTGCAAAAGGCCAATGATTTTATGGGGGGGGGTGAGAAGCGTGATGATGATGATTCCACCAGCAGGCTACCCAATCCTTGCTTTGAGACTTTCTTGGGCCACACAGTGGTAACTTTAGCCCCATACCCCCCCCCAGCACTGAGCACTCTGTGTCTTCCTTGCAGCTTCTGCCCTGCCAGCGGAAATGGGTTCCTCCTTCTTCAGCAGGTGTGGCTTGTCTTGTTTACACGGAAGGGTAAACATGGTTCATTCTAGATCTCTGTGGACACACGAAAGCCCCAATGTAATTTTCCACTTATTTTCAGGGAAATCAGCTGCTCCTCTTTGAAGTTCAGGGGGACATGCCATATCGCTTCTCCCCATCTTCTGCATCATTGATTGCGAGAACTCCATGCCAGGAATCATGGATCAAGAGACTGGTAAATATAGAATACTAATAAATTGCTTTCGGCGTTGAGTAAGAGGTGCGTCTGTTTTCCTCTGAAGCTCTTGGTTTCTACCTGTAGATCGTGGGACTAAGGAAATCTATTGGGGTTCTTGGCTAGGTTCAATGGGAAAACCCCCAGAGGAATTCCATTGAAATAAAATACGTCGATCCACTGTATGTGACCAGATGACTTGCACAACGGCTTAGCTTGTTCATGTAATCAGATCTGAAGGGCCATTTCAAGGGTGTATGGGGTTTTGTCTTTAAACTAGCCTCCCACTAAATAGCTGTTAAGCGCCGAGCAATGGTTCTCAACCTTGGCTCAGCCAGTTGACCTTGGACTGCAACTCCCAGAAGCCTTCACCCCCAACTGTGCTGGCCAGGATTTCTGGGAGTTGCAGTCCCAAAACACCCGGGTTACCCAAGGTTGGCAAGCCCTAGGATGGAGGATTGTCACCCCTTGAGCAGGACACATAGGAAGCTTAAGCAAAAAAAAAGGTGAAGGACTTGCACACGTCTTTCTTAGCACTTATTGGCTCAAACGCTCACTCTGTCTCATAGCCAGGTGACCAGAGAGGTCAACAAGATCTAGAACGGCAGATGTGAGCCAGTCACCACTACCTCTCAGCTTCAAGAATCTCACGGGGTTGTTGTGACATTGAGGATTGAGTGAAGAATCCTGGAAAGTACCTTGAGCTCCTTGGAGGAGAGAGGGGATCAAATTGGAGTAAATAAACCAAAGCTAGGCAAACAGGGGTGGGACCTAAGAACAGGAAGCAGCTTTGGCTGGGAGAGGCTGGAAGCCTGCTATTCGAGTGGGCAAGTCAATCGCTCATGGTGGAGGATGTTTTAGGTGTTGAAGGTCATGGAGAAAACCTGCCTGCAACCGTTGACAGAAAATGCCGAACACTGTAGCTCAGCCTTCCCACAATTTGATGTTTGCCATCCGATGTGTCACATTACAGTTCCATCATCCCACTTGGCATGGAAGCTGAGATAAGATGATGAGAGCAGTAACCCAAGCAATCTGGAGAGCACCATGTCGGGGAAGGGTGGGGGTAGCTAATATTGAGGCTTATTTGGCATCAAGACTTTGAACAAATTACTTTTTGGACAACCGTGGACAATCTGAATTACAAATGATTCTGCTGGTAGAAGATCCTGGGATTTCTAGTCCAAAAATGACACACATACACACAAAAGTTGAGTTCAGGCAGTCTTCAATGTTCTGTTTCTTAACTCTTTTAGTGCCAAGTTGGGTTTCAAGAATTTTGTCACAGAAAGGTAAGAAACTAACATAAATCCATTCAATCAAACACACCCCGCCATCTTGGCTTGGTAAACCTTCACCTATGGAGAACCTTTTTGGTTTTCACTACTCCATCCGGAATGCCCTGGAGAGTCCACAATTTATCCGCTCTGAGTTTTATTTTCTGCTGGAGACTGGCAGAGCATAGTCATCCCTTGGTGGTGGACTGTATATTCAGGTTGGTGGGTCACGGATTTTCAGGTCTGCAAATTTCGGGGAAGATGGAAGACCCAACCTAGAGGAACGTGGCTTGAGCAGGACGAGGGCAGCAGCTGGTGCTAAAAATAGCAACCCTTTTTTGTTGTTGTTGAGTTGTTTGCTTTTAACCCATAGTTTTATGCAAGTGAAGTGGAGGGAATGCAGAGAACAACATGTGGTTGCTTACCTAACTCCTGAAAAGCGTGACTGTTTACACAACACAGGCTCCAGTTTCTTTGTCCCAGGAGACACCGAGGGGAGGGGGGGCTGGATGTAGTGTAGGAGAAAAATAATACACATCTCTGGAAGTCAGCTTCCCAGCCTTTCGAACAAATTGTCCCCTCCACCTTGTTTACAGACCTTTCTCTCCCCTTCTCTGGGGGGGGGGGTCATTACTCACACCTCCCCCATGTGACAGCCTGTCACCTTTTAGGAAACACGACCCTCTTCCCAACAGAGTCTGCCAGCCGAAGCCCATGTGACCCTGAGATAAATTATAAATAGCTAAGAGGCAGACAAAAGCGCAGAAACCCAAAGGCTTCGCCTGAAGATCCGGCAGGCAAAGCGTAGTTCTGGGACCACCCAGGTGGCCTCTGCAGCAGAAGACACCTGTGAGCCATTTTCAGCCCAACGTCTTCAGCATCTCAGGATTTAACTGGAAAGGGCCATACGGGGGCCATGGATTACCAACCGAGTATCATCCGGGATGCTAACCCCATGGAGAATCTGGAGAAGCAATTAATCTGCCCCATATGCCTGGAGATGTTCAGCAAGCCTGTGGTGATCTTACCTTGCCAGCATAATCTTTGCAGGAAATGTGCCAATGACATATTTCAGGTCTGTATCCTTTCTTCTTCGGCTGGGTGAGATAGATCAGCTTTGGGGTGCGTTGTGTGTGTATGTTTTATTTCTTTGCTTTCTGCATGAGCTTGAAATAGCTCCCTTTGCGGCTATAAACTCCATAATCTTCCCGCCAACATGGCCAGTGGATGCTGGGACTTCCCATCCAAATAAGTATATTTTTGAAGCTTCAGGCTGCATTGCTAAGAAGGAGCTGGGTGGGTTACTTACAGAAGAGGTGTGGGGTCATGTTGCTGCAACAGACGAAAGGGCAGCCAGTGGCTTAATACCATTGTAAGAGTGTTACTGTATCTACTACCTATGGGATCCTATGCCTCCATGCTTATTCAGATATTTATTTTATTTATTTATTTGATTTATATCCCGCCCATCTGGGTTTCGTGGGACCTCTTCCCCAAATAAATGTCTGTAAGACTGCAGATTTCAGCTTGCACCCACATAAGCAGCATTTTTAGATCTTCAAAAGAGGTCTTTATGCCTATCCAAAATTCTATTTGCGAGTGGAAATTTACATCTGGCATTATATATGGATGCATATCTTGCCGGACCTTGGAAAAGTCCCCCCCCTTTTTTTGACTACAACATCCAGAATCCCCAGCCAGCATTTCCAAGCTTTTGCATCCTGCCTCATGAATAATGCTTTTTCCATCATGCCCTTCTTAGGGGTCTCTTTTTACGTGTGTGTGTGTGGGGGGGGAGACTCTTCTTGGCTCAAGCAACAGTAGACGGTGGGCTGCTGGATCTGTGCTCTGACTACAAACCACTTCTCGAGAACATTCGTTCCCTTTCCCGGGGGAAGTTGTATCTAAGAGGTTTCTCCCTACTCATCCATCCCTCCATCCCTGCAGAAACCATTTACCAGCTGGGAAAAAGGACATCTTGGTGCTTCATTTCTGAGGATTTCCAAAGTTAGCTCATTGGTGCAAAAATGATGACAGTCTTTTGGCTCCTAACCCATTAATTGTGGCCTCAACTTTTGCAGAACAGGAGAAGGGAAACAGGATCCATGAAAGTTAATGCCTGAACACTCATAAAGCAGATGCAAGACCCTTCTGCTGTTTCTGGCTGAGCTTAAGAAAACATAATTTTGGACTACGATTCCCTTGCCACGTTGGTTGGGGAGTTGTAATCCAAAAAAGTTTTTTAAAAAAATTCCAAGGGGTGGTTTTGGGAAGTAAATAAAACAGGAAGTCCAATGTGGCTGGGTATTTCCGGCATGAAAAGTCACTATTTATTGTTGCTGAGTAAAATTCTTCCAGCCTTTATACGGATACTGATTCTCAGTGTCCACCTGTTGTCCCGGAGTCTCTCCTCTTGAAAATTGAAATGTACACCCTTCCATCTCCAAGGTTCGATTTCTAGTGAACAGGCTGGATTCACTTTTGAAGGGAATCCATTTTCTTCCCAAGATTCTTCTCCTGGCTAGGAAGGGAACGGTCTGATAAGAGCGCTGGTCCCTGCGGAGCCCATTTTACATGTGATGCCAGTTGTCGCAAATTGTGTTGATGATGGTTGCTTGTCTTCCAAGGCAACATAATCAGGAGAGGTGAGAGGGGAAAACCCGGGGATACAGGGGGAGGGGGAAAGCATATTCAGTTTACTGGAATAGAGATCAAGTTTTCCAAACACTGTACACTTTGGCAGAACATAATAGGGTGAGGACTGTAGGCAGGGTCGGAGGTACCTACTGAAACGGAAGCAGAGCTGGCATTGATTGTCTATGGCTAAACAGCCCAAGACATTTCGACACCAAAGGAAGTTATGGGACCACTCTATTCCATTCTACAAAGTGGACTGGACTTCAGCGGACGTACAGTTTGACAGAACCATGTCTTCCGTCTCACTTGAAAGCATTAGACTAGTTTTAGGGATGCAGGACCAGAATCCGCAAACATTACGTCTTTGAACTGCAGTTCTTGAACACACACACACCCCCAGCCGATGGTCATGCTGACACGAGGATTCTGGGAACTGTAGTACAAAAGATAACTTTTCTAGGCTTCATGGGACAGGCCCCATAGCCTACCAAAGTCTGCTGGAAGACTGAAGAGGTTAGCTAAGCAGGATCAGGAGGCATCATAGGGGGCTACCATCATCCTCCCCAGCATCTCTTGCCTGAACTGATTCTCTCTCTCTCTCTCTGTCTCCCTCTCTGCTTCTCCAAGGGCTGCTTCTCACAAAATGGTTCCCTGCCTATCCATGTCCCATTCAGGAGCAGCCGGTTTGACCTAGTGCGATGGGGTCTCCACTCAGAGTTTCAACTTCCTCTCTATAGCTCCCTTCTTGCCTGGTTCTCCCTCAGCTAAGCTTGGTCCAAAAGCCCTTTGTGGGAAATTTAGAAAGGCTTCAATTCACAGGAAGGAAACCACTGATTAGAGACATCTTAGGGTTCGTATTCTCACCCTCCATATATAGGAAGGCAACAGAGCCTGGCCAGAGGTGAGATGACATGGTATCAGTACATGAAAATAAAGAGCGAGCATTGCTCATCGGAGGTTCAAAGAGTCACAGTCACAAAAAATAACTTTTCCAAGCTCTGAATAATACCATGGTGATTTGCCTTGTTTCAGTAGCTTTTGTTTGAAACCAAATCCTTCCATGACCAGGGTAGAATTTCATTCTGTACAGGAAGACTGTTCTTCTATTCTTGCATACATTTGTTGGAGGCCAATGATCTCAATACTTATATTATTCATGATTTGGATTTGGATTTCACTCTTTTCTCTCTAGGACTCGGAGTCATCTAAAATGCCACACAGTCTCAATGATTTGGGTTTTTTTTTTCCTAAGAGGAATGGAAATCTCCCACTGTGCTTTGCAGAAAACTTTTCACTGGAAAATTGAAAAGCAGTGGCCAAAATGATACAGTGGCTAGCAACCATCCGGTCATGGCTAGTTGGTGGCTAGCCACTGTACAATTTAAGGGCTGATGAGATTTCCATGTTACCTTCCCCACAGAAACACATGGCAAAGACTGTACTTTTTATTATTTTTGACAGCAGTTTTATTATGACCGTTCTTATTTTATTATTTATTTACTTATTATTTGTCATTCAAATTATTTATACACTGCCTTTACCCCCCACAGAAGACCCTCAGTGATTCCATAGTTCCACCTCTAAGTCTTGCCCTTCTCAAAGTCTCTACTTGAGATTTTTACCTCTGCAAACCAACATAGAATAGCAATTATAGGGTTAAAATTGTAAGGTTTTTTTTTAGCAACTACTGTACGATCTTTGAGTCTGTACAGTAACCCCCAGATTTGTGAGTAGTCTCTTGATATCTCAGAAATTCAGCTACAGCTGCTTCAAAGGAATTCGTCTGCACTATGCAATAAGCCTAAGGTCTTATGTTGCTGTCAACATTTTGTCTATATTGTGGCTTTTGTGGGCGCTCTTAAATTGTTCACTAGAGGCAGGGTTTCTTTTCCAAAGTAGTCTCTATGTATGCCTCTATTTCAAAAAAACAGGGAAATCTCCTGAAAAGAAAGGAAGAAAAAACACCTTTGGATTAAATCAAAAAGTTATAGTCATAAGTATGCAGGATTGTAACTGTCTTTAGGGAAGCAAATCATGCAACTTACTTCTTGTGTTTACTTGGGGTAGAAGTTAAGGTACAAAAAAGATGCATTGGCGTGACTATATTTTGAGTGAGGGTGGTGGGGGTGGGGTTTGATCTGTGATCCCAATTTCTGTGTTTTGGGAATATAGGTTCAATCATAACATTTTGCATCGAACAAAAGTCACCCACCCCCGCTCTTACACATGAAAGTAAGAGCTTGATTCACACCACTGCTATCTGGTGTCAGCAGAAATGAGTTGCTGTGCGACAGTTATCTGAACAATGTCCTAGTTGGAGCACTCCATGGGCTCATTGATAACATTGGCTGGATTTCCAACAGCAAACTCAAGGCAAAGCATGATGGGTTTTTTCCGGTCCTATCAGAAAAGACAACTAGAAATCGTTTTTATGCCATTGTTGCATGTTTCTGATCAGACTTGAAGAGTCAAGCTCCCAGGATGATAGTGATTGTGTTGGGTACTGTTTGTTTGTCTGACGCATCTTGGGAATATTACCGACCTTTGCTCTTCTGTTGTTGATGGCATCTCTAGGCTGCTAACCCCTACTGGCAAACATCCCGGGGAACCACCATATCAGGGGGAAGATTTCGCTGCCCTTCCTGTCGCCATGAAGTCATCTTGGACCGTCATGGAGTCTATGGCCTCCAGAGGAACCTACTGGTAGAGAACATCATTGATATCTACAAGCAAGAATATACCAGGTTTCTATCCCCTGCTGCTTCCTTCTGTTTTTGGTGTGTGTGTGTGTTGGGCTGGCTCTACCACAAGGCAGAGCAAATTTCAGGCAACAAATTTTTGGTAGCCTGAAAAAATAGCAAATAGTTATTAATATGTGATTTATGGGGCGGGATCCAGAATTTACAGTACTTAGAGTAAACCAACTGGAAACCATGGGAGTTGAGTCAAATTGGCCCACACCATTGATTTCAATGGGTATACTCTACATATTGCTACAGCTGAATTCTATCCATTTTACTGCCAGAGAGGAAGAAGAATACTAGTAGAACTTTTCTGTCTCAGGGTTTAAAATAATCTGGTTGGTTTTGAGTGTAGAAGTTACGTATGCTGCTTGTTGCTCTGCTTCGGCTGCCCAAATGCTTTGGGAGAAAGGGTTGAGGATGGCATCCGCTCTTTAGTCATCATTAATCATCATAGGTCATTTCTTCTTATTCATCCTCCATTGAGTTGCACTAGCCCAGTGGTTCCCAAGATATTCTTGGACTAAAACCTTCAACATGACCCCACATGGATTCCTGCTTCCTCCTTTAGAGCCTTCCATTTAAGCCATACAGCAGTGATTTGATTCTCAATCCACAGATCCTGCCACTGGGCAATACAAAATACAGTGAGAAGATCCTAGAATAATTCTTGCAGTTAGAAGGGAGCTTGGAAAAAATGGGCATTTCGGGGTAGGCAGTACATCCAGCTGTAGCCAAAAGAGGGAAAGCTAAGAAGACCACCCAGAATAACACTGGAGATCTCCCCACAATGATGGAGTTTGTTGACCAATGACTTTTTTCAAATAAAGGTTGAGAGAGGCTGTTGAGTCTAGGGACGCTGAGCCTAAACTGGCAGGGGTTTTTTTCCATAGCAACTGCCAGAAATTGGTGTTGTTTTGAGCCGCGATAATGATAGAGATGCCATGGCTTCTGAGCCAGAAAATAGCCTGGAGAGGCAAACGTAATGCATATTCTGACCAAACACTTTCTATTAAGAGACGTGAAATTGGGGTAGATTGGAAAGGCATCTGAATATAGAAAGGGAAGTGCTGATGGTGGTCCTTCTGAGATGTCATCCATAGCCTCTTCCAGAAAGAAGAAACACCATTAGCTACCCAAAATAAAAATTAATAGCGTAGACACAGCTTCCTTTAAGAGACGTTGGCATGCGCCAGCGGAAGGTCTATACATAACCCCACTGAGCACAGTGATATTGCGGGCAAAGGGAGAGCCAGACATGTTTCATTTCCATTACCTTCACACCCAACCCCATCATGAGGTGATGGCTCTTATCAGCCTGGAATACGTTGGCTCTGTTGGGAATCTCTCTCGGCGAAGGGTTGTTGGGATAAAAAAACAGGCCCTCTTCATTTGAACTGTTGTGAATTTGATTGGAGGAACCCCACAAACTCACTGATTTGGTATGTTTCTCTCAAAGTATTAGAAACGTGAACTCGAGGGACGACCAAGCCTTTGGGCCTCCACAGATTTAGGACTCCAACTTCCAGAAGCCACAACTAACAGAGCAGGTGCTAAGGAAATGTGGGGGTTGCAGTCCAGAATGGATGGGGGCTCAAAGCTTCCCTACCCCCACACAAGGGAACTTGCATTTTGGCTTTAAACAGAGAAATACCTAATTTTAGGGCAATTCTGAAATGTATTAGTAGAACTTGAAGCCGGTACTTCACTTGCTCATTCCTTCATCCCTTAACCAAGGATACAATTCATAGGAAATTCTCCCTTGAGTGCGTTTTTTCCTCACAAGGATACCTGCCTGGTTTGAACAGGATACTCCCAATATGGACCTGCACTTATTCATGCAGAAGTGGATTAATTCTCTGTTATAGCCAGCGAGGATCCTCCTGTTGGTTGCCTGAGAGCGTGTGTAAAAATCTGAGAGATGGAAACAGCACAGCCCCTTTCTAGAAGGTCTAAGAATACTACACACGGCCACGTTATGTAAGCTAAGAAGTTGTTGGCCTGCTTAAATACCTCTAGAAAACTCGGAAAATACATCTGAGCCTTGTTGATCTTATAGGCCACCTTTCCTCTTATCCATATGCACCGCCCATGTGACCTGAGTTGACCTGGACTAAGGTCACCCTGTGGGTTTCGTAGTTGAGCAGAGGGAGCTGGAACCGTTGACTCCTGGGCACAACACTCGTCCCACACTCTTTAACCCTTGGACTTTTCTTGGCACCGTTTTGTGTTTTCCTCCAGCCGACCCGTGAAGAAGGGCAACCATCCAATGTGCAAGGAACACGAAGACGAGAAGATCAACATCTATTGCTTGACCTGCGAGGTGCCGACCTGCTCCATGTGCAAAGTCTTCGGGGCTCACAAAGACTGCGAAGTCGCACCCCTCCAAAGTGTCTTTCAGGGACAAAAGGTACAAGGCAAAGCCAAGAGCAGATGCTCTCTGATGCTTCCTACTTGAAGGCTTGGCATGCCTTCCCTCCCTGTTGACTGCTCTGCAGGCCATCTCCTAAGAATTGCCACAGGTATCCTGCATTTCATAGAGCAGGCGTCCCCATCCTGGACAGCTCCAGATATATTAGACTATACCAACCATCTTCCCCAGCTTCTGGATGAAAGTGGTAGGCGTTCTTATCCAATGTATGTAGAGAAGGCTCTTGAGGGAGATTCTTGGCCCATGTTACCGGCTGCACATAGATCGGAGGGACCCAGAACACAGTCAACTCCTTCTCCTGTGGCTGCCCAGCTATATAGCTTGTTGTCCGTTAGGCTTTGCAGAGTGAGGGCAAATCCATTATTTTGCTCTCACTCTGAATTGTCCGTTAGGCTTTGCAGAGTGAGGGCAAACCCATTATTTTGCTCTCACTCGGAATGGACCATGAGATACTCATGGATCTACTGGTCCTCATGGATCTACCATGACGTTGCCCACCATTCCTGGGTCTTCATGGAGGAACTCATGAACATGGGAGCATTCTCAGGTCCATATGAAAACCAAGCCACCGCTCAAAGCAAGAGAAGGCTGGTCCAGAAACTTGGCATTTTGCCTCAGGGCAAGGAGTTCAGCCCGTTGACCTTACAGTCACTCACCTTCCCTTGGGAGGCCAAGGCCGTCTTGGGGTAAGACAAGAGGGCTACTCCCATTTGGACAGAGAGGTGATCATAGGTGCTGCGCTGGGTCTTTCAGGAATAGCCTCCATCCTCTTACGTAGCTGATATGAATACACAGATGACTCTAACCTTCAAACAGCCCCCAGCAGGTTATATTTAGAGTCTGTCAAGAGCTGCGAGGCGGTGGTGGACTCCTAGAAAGGGTGTCCATTCCCAAGGGAGCAGCTGTGATTAGGGCCGGGTGGGTGACGGTCTTTCCCTGGATAGGTACCACGAAAGGTCCACAGACCTCTTCAATCCGGATTGATAGGAATATCTGGCCTTTTAAAATGTTCTCTCAGAGTCATATTTTAAAAAAACAAACAAACAAAAAACCACTGCCAACTTCCTTCTTTCTGAATATGCCATTGGCCAACGTTGGTCAACTTTTCCAAAACAGGTTGAAACCGAAGTTCTCCTTCCTTTGTCCAGGGCCAAGTTCAAGCAGGGCAGGTGATTGCAAAAGGCAGAAGAGCGTGTTGGGTCTTCTTGGCTGGTGGGTGTCAAAGATGAGGAGCCAGGAAGGGAGAATGAACTTAAGCAACCCTAACTCAATGTTAACATAGCTGAACATACAGGGAGTTAAGTCCAGGCTTAAAAGAACTGAAGCATTCAAAGCGCTGAGTCTGTTTGGGTGATTTTTTTCACCTTCAGTTTCTCCCACATTTGAATGTTTAAAGTCTCAAACTCTTTCCATTCCAAATAATATGAAAAGGGCTGTGGTTGTGGGTACATTCTTATAAAAAGGAACTGAAAGAAAGGTCTATTGTATCCCACTCCAGCTAGAAGCTGAATTAGTCATTGGGGTTCTTTCTGTGAACTTTGCTGTCTTCACAGCTATCCGTCAAGCTTGGTACTACTTTCTCCCACTGTTAGGTAAAGGTAAAGGATCCCCTTGACAATTTTTGTCCAATCATGTCCAACTCTAGGAGGCGGTGCTCATCCCCGTTTCCAAGCCATAGAGCCAGCGTTTGTCTGAAGACAATCTTCCGTGGTCACATGGCCAGTGCGACTTAGACACGGAATGCTGTTACCTTCCCACCGAGGTGGTCCCTATTGATCTTCTTGCATTTGCATGGTTTCAAACCGCTAGGTTGGCGGGAGCTGGGACAAGCGACGGGAGCTCACTCCGTTGCGTGGATTCGATCTTACGACTGCTTGCTCTTCTGACCCTGCAGCACAGGCTTCTGTGGTTTAGCCCACAGCGCCACCACGTTCCCCCACTGTTAGGAGCCCTGTATATGTATTTTATAAAACGGAATTTCTGCCACACTACAATTAAACCGAGTCTGATGGGATCTACCTCTGCCATTGGCTACCCCAAAGATGTCAGAGAGTAGATTGATTTTTGGTCTGATCAATGCAGAGCTTGGAAAGAATGACTTTTTGGATGATCACTCTCAGAAACTCACAGGCCATAGGGTGCACAGCCATGCTGGCTCTACGATTCTGCGAGTTGCAGCATTAAAAAAAAGCTAGTTTCCTAAATTCGTGGGAAACGTTAATTTGAGATTGAAGCCATGTTGGTTGTGACAAACCACAAAAGGCAATGTGAGTTTGTTCAACTAACCTGTGCCAGGCTGCGCATAGGATGTTTCCAACCATGAGACATACTTCAGCCCTGGCGAACACAGCTTTTATTGAGTGTTCAAGTCCCACATCAAGGCAGGCTGTGCAATGATAAAGCCAAGAAGAGGCACATGTCTGACAAGAGTGTGTCAACAAGCCTCCAGAAAACGTTAAATCTATGAGAGATTAAATTCACAGGAATGGGCCGGCCCTACCATTAGGCACGAAATCTGGGATGTCACGAAAGGGCAGTTGGCTCTCAATGACTGAATTTGCTATCATTGCATTTTTATCAACAGGCAGCGGAGAGAGGTGCTTATAAGATTTTCCAACGGTTGTGCGGAAATTGACTGCCTTAGGTAGGGCGTTGTACCTGAGCTGATGGGACAGCCTGGTTTGCTCGACTACAAGGCCTAGCATACGGGATTTGCACTCTGACCCTAAAAATTTCCTTTGGAAGTTGTCCAATCCTTTTTTTCCTTTCCTACTGAAGCTGCCCAAGTTTGGGGTGAAAGATGGGGTGGAGACTCTGCTGGTAGGCTAGTAGAATGATTCTTTCAGGAGAGGAAAATTTTTTTAAAAAAAAACAACAAGTCAAGGAACTTCCTATCCCCCTGAATTGTAAGAGTTTCCTTGGTCCCCACAGGAACCCGCCTCTCATCTTTTTCCATACAAGAAATGCCACCGTTGGCCCTGACAGGGCAAAGAGAGCTATAAACTGAAACCTATTTTTATCCTCCTTCCTCACAGATGGAGCTGAACAACTGCATCTCTATGCTGGTGGCAGGCAATGACAGAGTCCAGACGATCATCAGCCAACTGGAAGAGTCATGCAAAACCACTGAGGTGAGGAATGCGACAAATGGCCGAGGCCCTTTCAAAATCGAAGAGGCGAAATCCAAGAGGCGGGAGAGAAACCCAACCCTTGAAGGATGAAGGGTT